TAGTCAGATGGCATCTCCCATCCCCAAGAGGGGGAAAGGAGCTTAGGCTCACCAAAACTGTCTTTGGCATAGTAGACACCCTGAGATATTAAACTTAGCACCTATAAGCAGTCAGCACAAAATATAAAAATACAGACAGGGCAGGTTCTTTGCAGTTAAGAACATGTTTAACAGAGTAATTTACCTTAGCTAATCCATACCTTATCCCAGCAGGACAGAGAAGCAGGAACTGAGAGTACCACCAGGCAGATCCATCCCATAGTACCAAGCCAGGAGAGAAGTACAGCTCTGGGGATAAAGCCAGCTTCAACCACTAGCCCGTTACTAGAACAACTCACAGGATGGCACAGGTCTGAAGTCAAGATAGGCGGTCAACCCACTATGCAAGATCAGGATAAGAGATAATCCACAGACTGCCAGACATATCCATAGGGACAGGGCAGATCTGCAGCTCAGCCAGGAGACCCGTGAACAAGCCAGGGTCTGTAGGCAACTACAGCTGTAACTAAGCAGAGAACCCATGCTCCTACAGCATTATGAAAGAGAACAGGTGTGCCTGGGCTGAGGTTAAACAGAGCTCCTGGGCCCATTGTTAGGGAGTGGGAGGCTCCAGGTGAGGCTGGTCAGGGTCGTTGAAAGCATCTGCACACCTGACAGCTCATGAAATAATAAACATCTCTGCACATTTACAGCAAAGCAGTGGTTTAGACTGTATTATGCTATGTGCTAAAATAATAATAATACCCTAGATACCCTGTGAAAGTGTTGAAGGAGGTGTCTTAAAAACACCAACAGTGACATGGGGCCTCAGTCAGAATTTGAAGTTTTATTCAATATTTCTCAGCAGAATTCAGAACTGCTCAGGGAGATGCAGCACTGCACGATAAAAACATCTTCTTACTTACCACAACAGACTATCGTACTGCATCAAAATGCTTCTGGTACCAAAAATATTTAATATCAATTTTGCAATTGAAAATCACAGCTCCAAATTTTTGCATGTGTTTTATCAACACATATTATTATTATTCAACACACACTGAACCATTATGTTCCTTGTTCCAAAGTGGGCAAAATTTGCCATAAAAGGTCTGATCAAAATCCAACAAACTCAAGATTGCCCTTTTCTTTGGAGTGAGTAGAATAGGACTACCTGGGGAAATTTGTTTCTATTGCCAAAAGAGAGAATCAGACTGATGATGGTTTGGCTAATCAGGAATATGTATAATGTATTTCATCTTCAGTTTTTGAGAAAACCCTGTGTCAGAAACGTGTGCTGTAGGTGGAATAAATTCAACACTGTTTAAAATTAGAAAGCATTCTGAGATCACATGTAAAACAAACATGGTCAACAATAAGGTTGTTTTAAAAGCTATTGAATTTGCAGTAATATTCCTCTTTTGAATACACTGCAATTAGTATTTTATTGATCCAAAAGTTCTCAGTATTTCAAAGGCTCTGATTACAATTTTTTCAAAATATGAGAAAAGAAATATTGTGCCAATTATGTGAGCAATCTGAAGTCTATAGTGTGCATCTCCTTTACAGGACAAAACAGCAGCAAAAGGAAATAAAAGCCAGTGTCAATCTTTGATGAAATTAACACAATTTAAAGCTGCTCCAGGCAAAACAATGAAATCTGTAATTTATCAGCACTGGATAACATCACCAGGGGAATTATTTAATGATTAACTACAGTGGGCTGGAGCCTGGGGTGAGGCGTGGTGGCTTATGGCTGCACTCAAGTGTGTTGTGCCTCCAGAGCCGACACGGCTATCCATTTCCATGGGAGAACAGCCCTAGCATGTGCTAAACCTTGTACATCCATTCAATGGGCCAGGTGCAGGCTGAGGGCAGCAGGGAGGTGAGCTCTTGGCTTTGCAAGTGTATGAGGATGCTGGGCTTATGCTGAAAGCACGGATGTATTAGGACAGCTTTAAATGCAAAACCAATAAAACCACTCACCGTGCTGAGGGTAAAAGCAGCTCTGCCGTTGATGCAGATTTTATCATCGACTCTTGTAGAGTCGAGATTTTCACACCAAGTATTTTTTGCTATAAAGAATTGAAAAGGTGAAAGATCTACTTGCTACTATTTAATATTGTAAGTGTAAGTACTGGCAAATTACATTTCTGCGCTTCATGGAAGCAATCTGCTTCTGTGACTAACCAGATTTCTGTGGTGGAGCTTAATGACAGGGCTCAGGATGACCGAGAGGAACTGTGGGGAGATGTGTTGAGTGTTCCACCCTCCCGTGAGGTGCAGAGACACAGGCAGGGTTCAGAACTGGAGGCCAAGAACCTTTCTGCAGCCTCCGATATAAGGAAAGCTGGACTGATTATTAATCTACTGGAATTAAAGGCAGGCAGAACTTAATTAACCAAGGAGGAGTAGTGGCTCAGGAATCTTCTCCCAGCTGCAGTTGAGCTCCAAGACATGCTCCTTGTACTGTCATCAGGGTTTGTCCACAGAGCCACCTGTGCTTGTCCAACAGCTTGGGTGGCCCTCAGATGCTGATTTGGTCTTGGCATCTTCCCACCAGAGTGTTAGGGCCTGCATTCTGCGTGTGGGCATGTCGGAGCCTACCATGATGGAGCCACAAATCTTTGGAGCAAGTGCGCCTCTTCTCCCAGGAGCAGTGCTTCATGAAGCTGCACGACTTTCTACAGCAGATGAGCAAAGGAAACACTTAATTCCCTACATTATGTTTCTCAGCCTGAAAACAGTGGAAATGATGTGCCAGAAATATCCTCGATCAATTTATGCATCATGGTAATCAAATAGCACATGGGTTGTTGATTTAATAATACATCTTTGCTATAAAGATATTGCAAGTGTGGGAAATATATCAGTTTTTTAAGTATTATGGTCATTATGATCCATTGGGATGTTAGCTGCATTGTCTTGGCCATTTTGTGTCTGGGTTCTCTTGAAATTTGTCATTTTTATGCACCTCAGAAATGTCTTCAAACTGGCAGATGCTTTGTCATTATAACTATTGTGATGAACACCAAAAAAGTTCTTGTTGCTGCAATTAACAGAAGTAAGGCTGTGTCCCCAAAGTCTGTCTGAAATATTCTTTATAACACAGATTGTACTATTCCCCCTCTAAATCTTGCTGCTGATTAACAGGTTTGTTGGTTCATTCTGTCGTTTTTTGTTATTTTTCCTGAAGAATATGTTGTTTTCTAGTTTGCTACTAGTCTCCACAAGTAACACTGTGGTCTAGCTTTGTGTCTCCAAGCCTATAGTAAGTGAGAAACATTTTGTAGAATTTTCTTTTGCTTTTGAATTTTTCAACATGCACATGGGATGAGAATGTAACAAGGCTCCAATAGAATTGTATAATTGGATCAAAACACACTTCACCCACATATGAGCTGGATTGGTTGTGATAGATGTCAGGAGAAACTCTAAGGCAACACTAAAATTCTTTTATTCCATAACTGCCAAATAAAATAGTACTAGAAGCCTGTGAGCAAAAGCCTCCTGGTTTGTTTGGTGTAAGTAGGAAAAGAGCAATCAGATAGCTGATAGGGCATCAGTGAAATCGCATTATGGGAAGCCAAGTGACAGGACTGCCCCACCTTCCTCCCTTTTTCATTTCTATTTCAATTCTGAACACACTAATCATGGTTAAGTCATTTGCACCCTCAATCTAAACCAGGTATGTAGCAAAACCCCAACAAGGTGTGCATCAAGGGAAAGCTGAGACCTCTGCACCATGCTGCAGGGCAGCAGTTTGCAGAGTCCCCCAGGTTGCAGGTGCCTCAAGCTGGAACCTACAGATAATGTCCATTCCTACATGGCCCCTCCAAGCAGTGCCTCAGAGGAGGATGATGGAGTGTGGCAGTGAGGGGAGGAGGTGCGCAGCCAGGGCCCTGCATCAGCAGCTTTCCTCTGTGAGACGTCCAGGAGAACAAAGTGGGGAGGGCAGAGTACTCGCCAAGTCCTACCAGCACCCCGATGAAGCTTATGATTATTGCATGTGGTGCCTAGATTTTATGTCAGCGATGCCATACAATTAATTAGATTTAGGCTAGATGAGAATACATTAGACACAGTGAGACGCCACCTTCCTGCCTGTCCATCCTTGGAGGAGAGGGGCACTGTTTCTTTCCTTATGCATATTCCCTTAATAATATATTTGTCACAAAGATTCTTCCTACACCCATCTGGTATATAGATATTTTCCCAGATTTGTCATTTTTTATGTTCCAAAACCTATTTTACTTCACATGCTTTCATAATGAAGCAGCAAAAGCCTGCCATAACTTGATATATGGAGCAGAAATCACATCTGTGCCAGGCTTTTCTAATCAGATAAAGCACTGAATACCCGCAGTGCTTATTCTTCTGGCCTTTGACTAGATGTACCTGAGTGACTTCCAGTGCCAGTCTAGTCTTGTATTCACAATTAAACTACAAAATACCATTATATGCTTTAGCTTTTGGCTAATTTCAGTGCTTTTAAAGCAAAAGAAAAAAAAAGGAACCATCAGAAGTGTCTACCAGCAGCCCCCTGCATGACACAGACCACGGAAACCCATTCTGCAGTTCAGGCACCAGCCCAGCTAGCAATTCTTGAACTAGAGCATACCTTTCAGAGCGCATCTTCCCTCACCCTTCCTTGCACAGCGGACATGCACAGCACACCGTGCAGCACTCTGTGAGTCAGGACCTGCAGCGAGAGAGCTCTGCAAGTGGGTAGCAGGGCTGGGGGCTTCAATGACATTGAGCTTACTAATATGAGCCCTGAATAGAAGGATAACCAGTGTGGCAAGGAACTTTGTTTAACCCAGACAGTCACAGGGAGGTGCTGCCTTCCACCGAGCCTTCACCTGCCCTGCTGTGACCTGGCTCCCCGCCACTGCCTGGCTGCTTTGCGTGCACGTTGCTGTCAGCCAAGATGGATTCTGCAGGAGATAATTTCATCTGAAGCCACATTAGCTCCCCAGATGTGCTGTCTGCTCCTCATGGCACATCCCAGGAGAGGCCACTCTGGCATGGCAGAGACAGGAAGGATGATGGTTTGTGGCACTCCCCTACACCAAATCCCCAGAGAGAGTTCCTCCTACTTTGAATTTCCTCTGTTCATATAAAGCAAAAGGACAATCTGAGACATTGCTCTCAGTATAGTTCAAAACACAGTTTGAAGTGTGAATTTTTCAATATTTGAAGCATTGGCTTTTATGATTTATTTATTAATATTCCAGGACAAGCATTGCAGAGTGTAGCTGGTGCCTACTCCAGTTCCGACATCGACTGAATGAATAGCAATATTTTCACAGGCATTTTGTCCATTGCTATGCAGATAGACTGTGCCTCTGAATAATAACACAGGGATATCAGCAGGTAAGATCAAGCATTCTGGAGAATCAATTAAAAAAGGCTCTGAAACACAACAGCTCGTACTGTTTCATTTCTGCCGACAGCAGGTATGAGCAGGACCTGGCATTACCCCGGGTATGACTCAGGCGTGGGAGGTGTGCGGGGTTGGCTGTCTCTTATCCCTGGAGTCCACCTTGTAATATTGCCGGTATCCGTGTGTAACAGATAGTGTTGTGCACTGGGCTGGAAGATAATAAATAGATGTGAGCCGATGATTTACAAGAGGGTGCTTGGAACTCCTTGAACCACTGGGAAAGGCAAACTGCGCTGCTACAAGGTTGTGCTGTCAACCTCGCAATAGTTTTTCCTCTCTCCTGAGGGCAATTTCTCCAAGATGTAACTTGCTTCCTGCCTCATCATCTGGAAATTCACAAATCAGAGGAATTGTGGTTAATTACTAAAATGGCTGATCCATAGATCCTTAGCTGTCAGAGCCTGTCGGAGAGGAGGGGTTTAATTGTTGTTTTTCTCTGAAAAGGATTTCTCCTAAAGTGATGAAATAACTCACATTAATGAAGATTGCAAATAGAAGACATTTGTGATTATTTCTAGTTGTTGAAAGAATTGCTTATTTAAAATGCATTGCTTTCTTCCATGAAGAAACTTATATTTCTTCAAACTGCCAGAATAAATTTAGCCCAAAAACATTCATAACGAAGGATGAATGTGTATTCAGGCTAACACTGTATGTGATCTCTGATCATATAGTAGTTAAGTTATACAATCACAGTGATTTATGGTACTAAACTGTGGAGCCTCATATCTGCAGGGGTGTGGGTAAAGGGGTGGAACTCTCATCAATCAAAAGACTACACTTGTTTGGCACTGGGATAATTAAAGCAGACAGTAAAAAAGCAGGAAATAATATTTAAAAAATGAAATCTGAATTTCTATCTGCATAGTGTTATTAAGCAATACAGTACTGAGCCACCTCTTTAAACAGCCTGCCTAGAAATCCACTTATTACCTTGTAGCTCTTGATATATGTATTCTCCATATTCATGCTGAAGGTATGCGTAGAGCAGTTATATAATGCGCACACTGTCCTGGGCTTAAAAACCTGTGATTACAAATAATGGCCATCTTTCCAGTTTATGCCTAGACAGAGTCAAAATGAGAAAGAAAAGAAAATATATATAACCAATATTGAAGTGCAAATTTCCAAACTGTCCCTCATCTCACTATGTTTCTTCTGGTTCACCAATATCAGGTAGAAAGAGCTGGGCACAGCAAAGGGATAGCACAGAGGAACTGTATTAATCAACCAATGTTTTTAAAAAGTTTAATTAACTGCATATTTTGTAAAAGCCACATTTCATTACTGTTTGTTAGGAAGATGGAAGCATGCACTGGAAACACTAATTCTAATTATTACTTCAAGTGGGAGTTTTTGGCACAAGGTCAAGGAATAATAGAAGAATGTGTGAATCTGCGCTACAGCGTAGCAGCAAGACTAATCATTTGAATAAAGCCAGTTGCTTTTTCTTGGACTGTCTGTGTGCTGTTCAATGTTCTGGATGAATCTAACACAATCAGCCTGTTCTCTGGTGTATATCCACTTCCTGCTGACTCAGGGCAGCTTGCCTCTTCTGCCATTTATTAAAATGAAACATTCCCATTAAAACACCATTTTTCAGAGAGATGACCAAACAGATATTAGTAATGACATTATTAAAACTATTTTGTTTAAAATGAACTGTCACACTTGTGTGTTGCAAAGCAACACAAACAAATCTATTAAATTTAGTGAGAGATTGCTTTGAAGAGCTGGCTTGCTTGCTTTCTATTAGAAGGTATTGCAGAGGGGATGTGATGTGTGCTCCAGGAAAACGCCAGCTTTTATAGCCATTAAAAAAGAAGGAGTACTGTTCCTAGTACTCTCTATAGCAAATAATGTATAATTCATGGATTTCATTAATATGCAAATATGATCCATGGTCTCCTATGTTTATATCTCCTAATAATCTATTAATGGTTTTAAAAGTAAAGGGTAATAGAAACATTTTCTATGAGCAACATTTACTCAGGCTCTCTGCGCTTTTCTCTAGTTGTATCTCACAATCTCGTATAGAATTAGAACAGAAACAATGGAAATTAATTCACCTATGATTATTAAATAAATATTAATTGAACATAAGGCCACAGGCCGAGTATTCTGTGATTCTGTAATGAAAGACCTTATTATCATTAGATGTCAACGAGTCTTACAAAAACCCTGTGCTAGGGAGATGGAAAGGTACTTAAAATGACCCCTAGATCTGGAAATATAATTTGGATTTTGATTTCAACTCCCGCATCAAACACAGGCAGACATAAAAACGAAAATCAGATTTGTTCTGAAGACTCGGAGTTTTCCATTTTTTTCTTAGTAGGAGTGAGTTTCCAGTCTCATGCAATCTTGTCCAGCATGTTAGGATCAGCTACTCCTCACTTCCATACTCCAGTCAAAATGTTAGGGGTATCAATCTGAAAAAACACCAATACCCACTTTGTTATTATCAGTGTTGTTTCTAAAGCATTGGTGGGCAGACAGTTCCAGATGATGTCTGTTTCTGCCCTGGGCTCGTGCTGCTCGCCGGTTCACTCACTCTTCCTCCCTCCTTGCAGTGCCGTCTCCGTGCCATCACACAGCCCCAGCACTTCTCCCTGTGCTGCCACTGCACAGCCCCACCAGCGCTTTCCTTTCCTTCTGAGACATCGCTGAGAGATCTGCCAGGCAGTGACTTCACTCCTGCACTTATCAAAACAAAGAGAAACAGTGCAGGACATGGGCACATCTGCTCTTTGTAAAAAAAAAAAAAACCAAAAACACAACAAAACAACAAAAAAAAACACATATAAAGCAATCATGCTGTAGGCAATAATAAACCACTTTAATTAACTAATGGAAAGAAACATCCTGCCAAGGACAGCTTTGATGATTTTCATATTACATCCCATAAGCACTGGGCAATATTTTAGACCAGGGTCAAAGACCTTTTGTCCGAGCATAAGGAGAAAAGGCAGCTCAGAAAACATCTATGTGCTATGCATATTGACCTAGATGTATCCATAAAAACCTGATATGTTTAGTAGTGGCTACCTGTCAGTACAAACAAACACAATTGCATTCACAGGGAAAATACACCCATTTTACACAACAAGAAAGCCTGTTGGTACATACACTTCACAGTTCGTTACAGACTTTCCTAATTAAATGAATATAACAAGTTGATTAGACTTTAGAAGCTCCGAGAAAAGTCAGATCCACTTATACTGAAAAGTAGGACTCAGAAATAAATTATTCACAGTTGATTAGACTAAGACAAGCATTTCTCAAACATTTCTCAATACTTCAGAAAAAGCGACATATTGAACTCTATTTTACTGTGAGGCTCAAAATGGCAATTAACAGTCCTAAGCTGCATATAAAACCCACTATGAACCACATTTACAAGAACACTGTGCGTGAATCAAATTACGTTATCTTTGGTTTGAAGAACTTAGAAATAATTGCCAATAAGTATTCATGTATAGGACCAATTTTTTGAAACAAGTTATTTTAATTACTACTAGTGTCAGGAGTACATGTAGGCGATTTTATTAGATTTAATGTGTTTAGTGAAGCTCCCTGAACTGTAGCTGGTTTATTTCTCGAGAAGATCATATATTTAATATATCTTTATTATTCTTACTTTCTAATATTGTATTTATTTGTAAATGAAATCTCAATATCTTATGCTTACAATAATTTCATAGAAAATACCAGTGTGAAGCACGGTAATGTATCATCACCAAAGAAATCAGAATACCATGTAGATCTGGGTTTCTATACACCACACTGATAATATAAATATCCTTCAAACTGCATGTCTTTACAGCCATCTGCAATTGTGCCCACACTTGGATTCAGTGATGTACAGGAGCCTTTCCATGAAAGATATAACTGGAAAAAAGGGAGAGAAAGAAGGAGAAGGTCCATAAGAGGGGAATGTCTTGGTCTTGAAAAGCAACTGAAATCATTGCTGATTTTAGACCATCCAGATAGCAGCTTTATCACTTCTATTGTCCTCACTCTCAAAAATGGAATTCCTTGAACCCACCACTTTCACTTTATTTAAAAAAATATCGAATGATATCGGTATTGACTTTGTCAATAAACGATCCAAAAAGGAATGCCATTGCCAGATATTCATGCACACAAAAAGAGCAGTCTTAACAAATACCATGCAACCCTTCAAGTCATACTACTCATGGATATGATTTCCTTTTCTTGTCTTTCCTAATTGCTGAGAGCATACATCCAAACAATTTCAAACTGCAGTGACAGTCAAAAGGCATAGAGCAAACCACACAGACCAATCCATGCAAAAACGTTGTGCTGTGCAGCTGGAAGCTGGGCTAGGACACATCCTGCCTGGCATGCCAATATGCAGCACAAGACCACAGGCACAGTACTGCTACCTCCTTCCCCAGAGAGAGCAGACATTGCTGGCCCTAACAGAGCACAGCTCGAGGAACAGGGCAATAAAGATAAAGCAATGAAGCTCTTTGTGATAATCAATATTTTACATTCATCCAATTTCAAAGCTATGCCTATTTCTTAATATGCAATATCTTGAACACGTCAATCCCATGCGAAGGTTCTACAGACATCTGCACATATTCATACTTCAAGGACACAATACTTAAGCACTTTCCTGAAGTGGTATAAATAAATACAGACAGAAAGAATTGCTGGTATATACAACATTGAAGAGCCCGAAATAGACGTAGTGAACTGTGGTTATAAAAATAAATTTCTAAAAAGAAGAGAGAAGAGAAAAGGAGACGAATGTTCTAATCTTACCTTCATCATAATCTTATTAGCATTTCTCAGTGAGTAGTTCAAGTATCAGTCTATACTCTTATGAATCTGTCTCATAAATATGTCAAGTGCAAAGTATAGTTATTTTAATAGTCTGTGTTGGTGGGCCATCATGGATTTAATTAAGAGACAACTAGTGTATGAAATATGACACAAAAGCACCAGACTAAATGGAGAAATGTTTTACTGCAGACTTAAATCAGGTCCACAGAAGTAATGATGATCTGGCCTTAGAAATCCTACTTAAATTTAATTAATGCGGACCAGTACAGACCTGTTCATATAGGAACAAAAAACAGCAGCATTAAAAATAATGATTTAAGCTATACTGTGTTATTTATAAAGACATTTGCATTATCCCCAACTGCATTATGTTATTTATAAATGTGTGTTGGTCTGTGGCTCTTCAATTAATTTTAAGAGGCTGAAAAGGCAAGTCCAGAAAAAACTATTAAAATACTGTCAGCTGCTTTTTGTATTCTCTCCAAAATAAAACCTTCATTAAGGTCTTAAGTCTTATTTTGGAGGTTCTCTGGACACTCAAATCATGATGCTACAAAACTGTAGATACCCTTCTAAGTCTGCAATGAAAACTGTATTATTTTCCATCCAAATCTTCTCATCTCCTCTTTCTCCATCTTTCTTGTCCTGTCTTCTCAAAAAGCAGAAGCACAGTCAGCACTATAAGCAGGCAGGATGAGATCTTCCAGCACTGCACAATCCTTCCTGCTACCATTTTGGTGCAGTGTTTTGACTTCCTAGGAAATCTGGCAAGGTACAATGGTTTTCAGAACTAATGCAAGTGCAAATTCCCTACTACTTCTTTGAGTTTAATATGATTTTAGAAAGAATCCCCTAATTTCATTAAACTATTCCAGTAGCTCAATCCTAGCTTGCAAAATCATTGACAGACAACAACTTCGGTTGCACTGAAGTTGAAAGGAAGGCTTATTATTGATTTACATAGGCACAGAAGTAGATTCTAAACAGATGCAGTTATGCATATACCTGTCTGGCAGTAAGAATTGATACCTTGGTCAACTATCAGGATTATGTTATGTACAGTTTCATATCTAAGAATTCTCATTTTCTTAATCTGATCCAGAAGGTACCAGTCATTGCATGTTAATTTTTTTGAGTGGCTACCAGTCATTTAGATCTAAATAACCTTTAATTGGTTGGTTGCTTGAGCAGGCCATTAAAGTATTCATAGATTTTATTAACCTTTTATTACTATAGGAGGAGAAAAAAGGCAGTGCCAGAAAGCATCATTAAGTGAACCTCATCCCTATTTTCAGAAAACTCTGAGCTGGGGACTCTAGCTGCTCTCCAAACACCATAATTTGGACTGCCAGGAATGTAATAAAAACTGTAAATTGACACAAAAATGAAAGTGCTTGGGAGAAATAAATTCATAACTACTTTTATTTTTTGGTGAAGAAAACATCAAAGGTTTGCAACTCAGCCTGGAAGGCAAAAATGGATAAAAGGAGAGTGCCTATAGTTTCAAAATATTTTTCTCTTTAATGAACAGTTGAAAATATCCATAAATCTCTTCCAGTATCACTGTATTTAAAAAGCAGTCAAGTCTTTTGTGCCTGACATGTTTATAGTAAATCTATTCTCATCTGTCGTGTTTGCATAAATTGTCCAAAAGTTCATCCTGTCTTGGCTGTCTTTCTGTATTCATTAGTCATTTTTTGAGTAAATGAAGGGAAAAAATGCCCAGAAACTCAGGTAATGCATAAGAACCAGACTTCTGATGACTAACAAGGCAAATACAACTTTATTCAGTTAAATTTACAGAAATTTGTTTCTTATTGCCAGGGATGAACTAAACAGTATGAATTATGTGTACAAGTGTGTAGTAAATAAATATAGGCAATCAGAAAGAAATTCTGAATAATATATGATAAGGTAATAATGTAGTCCCAAACAAGCACTTACAGTGAACACCCACCTAATCAAAGAGCTCCTGACAGAGGTCTGGTGTGAGCCATCAGACGGATTTAGGATACCTTTGCACCTTACTCTAATAGTAAAATTTACAGTGCAGCAGCACGATGTCAAAGCCAATCTTCATCTTCTTTCTCAGTAAGTGAGACATACGTTACAAAAACAAAGAAGTACTGCCATCCGGTACAGCCTGAAACACAGGGCTGATTGATGCCCCCGGGAAAAGATGAAGGAAGGGTGACTTGTTTTTTCCATGGGATGGAAGATTGAGGTGCCAGGGGTGTAAGGGCCTGCCCCTCACCTCTTGCCCCCTCTCTGCCAGCCATCCTCCCATCTGGCAGTTTGCCCAGCTCCCATGGCCTGCCTTTTGCTGCCCAGCGGCAGTGGCTGGGGGTGACCCCATGGCCTAGAAGCAGCACAAAATATTCACTTGATGAGAAGGGATGAAGATCAAGGACATAATGTGGTCAGTTGCTCAAGTAATCAGGTGTACAGGTAAGAAACAACCACACAACTGCACCACAGCCAAAGAAACAAAGCAAAAGAAACTTTCCAGTCTAGACTACCATGGAATCAAACCTGAAGATGTGCAGACAGAAATTTGCTGTGGCCTACTCAGCACACAACACGCTCATTAGATTTACGAGTAGTAGGGCACTGTATCTCTTTGCCCCAGGGAACGTTTTCTGTGATTGCCATTAAAAGTCTTGTTGACGGTGGATTTTTTTGCTGAAGTGCAAATATACAATGGTTTTGTAAGGAGTTTTATATAGAAGGTTACATTCACAGAAAGCTACCCACACCTCTGTATCAGAAACAATTTGCAGAATTAAATATTTAACAAACGAGTTTGAGATCTGCAGTGATTAAATTATTGAGGTAATTAGCACAATATTTAAGGTTAATGTTCACAGGTAGGTTAATTATATCCTTTCCCAAATTCCTGTTTTCATTTCACTTGATACAAGTTTCAATAACAGTGAAAGTGAGACCACAGTTACAGAGATGGTAGATGAAGCAGCACGTATCACCAAAGGTATCAAACAATAAACGTACGCTTCTGAGAGAAGTTTCCTTCAGCACCAGGTCTTAGAGCTTTATATAAATCATGTACCAACAGTTCTCTTGTCTTCTGGAGTGAACTTGAATAATACTTCAGATCTGCATAAAAAAAACAACAAAAATTTTCTACAGGACTTGCGGGATTTCTTAGCTTGCAGTCTTCATACAGCTCTTGCATTAATTACAAAAGAGATAGTGTTTAATGCTTTATATTGAATTCAGTCCACATGCACAACTCCTATTTGCAATATTGCAGACCATAAACAACATACAGCGCTGAAATTCTCTCTGATTGGACTTCAGTGAGGTTACGCCACATCTACTCTAATGAAATTACAGTAAAAATTTGCTTCGATTATCAGCAGAATGCCTGTAAAGAATAAAGAAGGGATTCAAGTACTACAATGAAGTTTTAGGAAACTGCTCAATGCTTACTCATGCTGAGACAATAGGACTGTGCACCCTCATTTACTTACATAAAGCAAATATCTTCTGCTTTTCCTCAGATTGACTCCCAGACCAGCATCTCTTCACACAGGCTCCTCAGAAGAGTGATCGCTGCACAGCCAGGCCCGGTCTGTTCATCTTCTTGTTTCCCTTTAACATGCTGTAATAAAGCTGTTATTGAAAAAGGGAAACAGACTCATTGCTCTCCGGGGGAAGAAGGAAGCCATGACTGTAAGAGACAGAAGAATAAAATGTTTTGTGCAGAATTTACCATTTTGCTGAGCAGAAGGATGAATCTGGAAGTCTACAAAGGATGTGCTTTTTTCCACTGTTATGACTATAAAAATCAATCTTCTGTGTAGAGGAACAAATCTTTTAACTGTAGCTAGGAAGAACATCTCATTTTCACATTTCATGATGTAAGAAATTCATAACAGCCTAAATTGCAAATTTGATTTTTTTTAATGCAGAATTGTATTCATCGCTTATTTTATTATTTAATTAATATCTTATTTTTTTATTTTATTGCAGTATGGTGCTGTTATTTTCTAAATAATTTGATTATTTTGCCACAGCATTGCAAAATGTGAACATGTTGATGCCTGCTGGACCCTGCTGATAAGCAGGCTTGCAAGAAAGGAGCCGGTGAAAATCAGTCTCTGTCCTTTTGAAAAATTAGTTGTAGTAGTTTCACACTTTTACTTTCCCAAATAGACACTGCAACAATTTTTCTTCCTTTCTTATTTATTGTTCACACCACTGCAACAAAAACATATGCTTCTCTATCCCACATACACACAGCTACAGATAGAGCCCTCTTCTGTATCATGTCAGTGGCAAGCACAAAGGTAGGGATGCTCTGGGCTGCACTGTATTTGCACAAGTGGCTGCAGTGAGTATACACGCAAGCAGAGAAACTGATTTATGAAAAGCAGTTTTAGATACCCAACCAGCAATTGTGTGCACAATTACTGTGATTACACATGTAATCATGGTCACTGTGCTTCCAAATGATGCATATGTTATTCTAAACATTCGCTCCTGTGTTACTAAAATTAATGGGAGCTTTTCTGTCAGTTTGTATTGATGGAGGATCAAGCACTGCATATTGTTAACAGTAGCCGTGATATATCCAAAACCACTTGCAATTTTTGCATCCAAAATGCTCACTTTTCATTGCTCCTCCAATTAATAAAAGAGAGAAGGACAAAGTTTTTTAGAATGTGTAAGTGTATATTTATTATGCATTCACAAACAAATTATCATTTTTGAATAGGCTTCTGGGTTTGACTCTAACTCCATTGATATTAAAAGAAACAGGAGTCTGTATCAAGTTCCTCCTTTAATGTTTCTGCTTAGTTTAGGTCACAGAGCTGTGTGTACATCTGTTGATGGCAAAATCTTTCACTTTTGACTGTCTTGGCTTTCAAGAGTTAACTGGCATTTTGTAGAGAAGATGCTGTGAGATACAGTAGGCATGGTGATAGGTAGTATTTCACATCTAGTCTTTGTCCATGTTCTAACAATGTGCATCAAATGTCTTACTATTGTCTCTTTTTCAGATTAGTTTACAGCCCTGTAGTTCCAGCTGTTTTATTCTGAAACTCTAAAACCCTATCACTAGGGAGTTCTGTGTAATTGACCATAATATGCACCACATTATCCATTTCAGGAACTGTGCTGAAAGACAGCAGCAATAAGGGGTTTTCTAAAGGCAGTCTGGTTTACACTAATGGATCTAACAGGAAGGAAATGCAATTTGAAAGAAGCTGATGCATATGTTCTATTGTTGAATATAATGTTTGATTTAATTATTAACTGTCTGTGATGGAAAGTCAGATCCTGCTCAGTTCTGCTTACAGTTTGGTACTCTGCTACCGGTGAAAACAGACAAGATTCAGTCTGAGGATTTAAGAGTCCTTTGTAAAATGTTGACGTTTAATTGTGCTTTTCTAAACTGTCAGCTGAGGAGCCTCATTCACATGCTTCTTCCATAAAGGCTCGCTTACTTTTATCAATCCAAAAATGCAATATGGAACCTGACTCTTCCTTTTTTCATTTGCGTAAATCAGGAGATTATTCAAGTTAATGAACTGCTGTCATTATTTAAATAAATACCATCTGAATTGAGTTTATATTCACTGCTGTTCCTGAAATTTTTTTTTCTTTAAATGCATTTTGTGTTGCATACATAGCACTGCAATCAATCTCCTCCCTTCTCATTTAGAAAATGCACAGTGGACCCACAGTAAGTTTTAGGAAGGAGTTAAAAAGTGCTGGCATAACTTTACCTATCCTTCTTTTATCAGAGACAGAGGATTTGGCAGCCAATTTCAATCCAATTCTATTATTGGTGTTTTGTAATTTCTAGTAAATTGTTGCATTGTGTTGCAGAGGTCCTTAATTCCATGTGTGGGCGTTAACATGGTGTAAGGAGTGAATTCATTATGAAGATGTCTTACCTGAAAATCCATTATTCCTTTCCTCACCATGGTGACTCCTATCAAACTCACACATAGCGTAGTCTGGAAAGAAATAGGCATTCATGCTAAACTGCTGCATTTTCAGAGGAGTTTAAAGGTAAAAATCACAGCTCTCTTGCATGATTCAGACAAAAACAGTCATTTAACACCACCAGAAAAAACAAAGTAATTGGGCAAGGTAATTTCAGTTTTGCAGTTTATATCGGTCTGGTGAGATTATTATCTCTGACACTATCTTATGCAGATGCAGGACTGGAGCTGATATTAAACAATAGTAATGATATTTGGAGTTCATCCAGTATGATCTTCATTGTTTGTGAGAGTGGCTTCCACATAGTTATTTGATCCATAATTTCTCATCTTTCATTAAACATACATTCCTACATACACTGCACGCAGCTCTGTGGGATGCATTTTCCTTCGCAAAGTCAAAAGGGATTGGTTACATTTCTCATTAGGATGAGAAATTAAGTTCCCAGAAAATACACTACCACATCTCAAACGCTTAATTGATTTAGACAGATTAAGAGAAAATAGAGACCCCCCTTCACAGTGTATTCCCATTCTTGGTGTCAATCAGCAGGCTTCAGTCAAAGAGCTGCCACTGCAGCAAAATCCATCTCAGATTAATCCGAAGAATTCTGCTTGTAATCTGTTCTCAGCTGTACGGATCTGAGAAGATTTCAGAGCTTCTTAAAAACCTCACATATTTTGAATATTTTGATTTAAAGAAGTATTTGACATCTGAGATCAAAACACACCCAAGCTGCTTTATTTCCTGACTCTCACCAACGAGGATTTCTGCTGGGTCTTTTCTGAGTCAAAAATACCACAAAACCAACATTTCTTGCCCTTCTTCAGGACACCTGCTTGCCACAAACCAACAAATGCCAAGATACGCGATTTCTTTTCAAAAGTGAATCAAGCTCAACACAGGTGTGAGCCAAGGTCAGCTCTAGCTTTGGCTACAGCTTTCTCTTAGTTTCACCGTTACTCCCATTCCTAATTAAAAGTTTATTGAAGCACTTTGCATACTTTACCGTATTAAAGAAGCAATTATCAGAGTGAAAACAAAAACTGTCAATTCTGAAAATAGCTTGGACTGTTCATGTGTCATTCTCAGTATATGCTGAAATATCCAGAAAAACGTGGCTCACACTGTGGATTGCACCAGATACCCACACACACACAAGTAACCCTCCCTCCGCCTTCTCCACCCGAGGCTCATTTTTTGCAAAACACACACATAGAATTGAGCTGTGCTTTCTGCCAGTGGAGTGAACTACGATGGAGCAGAGCACAAAGGAGTCTATTTTTTCTGTGGCATACATAGGATTTTCCCGCAGAGCACAGTGTGAGAATTAGGATCAGATGCTCCTTGTCACCCGCACATTGCAGGCTCAGGGGGAAGCAGGCTGGTTCTTATTCATGGATCTCATGACCACACCTCAGGTAAGGCCCCATGTAAATTGAACATTTGCAAATCAGGAGTACCAAATTTTTACCCAGCTCCTGCCAGCTCATCCTCCTGTCTCAGCCGTGCCAGAACTCGTCCTGCCTGAGCCGCCAGTGCTCCTATGCCATTAGAGTTGGTGCTACCAGTTCACATTCCCTTCTCCTTCTCAATGTGCAGCTCCTCACACTGTCTGTGCTTTGTCTCCATCTTGAAGTACTACCCTGTACAGCTCACACATATCCAAGAGGGAGACTGAAAAGGATGTTAGTGGCTACACACAAGGGCAATTGAAAAAGCATGCTATGGAAATCATATTCATAGGGAAAAAAAAATGAACTCACACAGGTGTTTCACTACTTCTGCTGTGACTCCTCTAGGCATCAAAACAGGTGAGTTTGCTGCATGCTAATCAGGAAAAAAGAACATCTGAAATATGCATCTGCACATGAGCATCTGTGCAGAATTTCTCCAAAGCAGTTCTCTAGTGCATTTCTTTTCCTATGTGGGCCTCTTTTGTACTTTTTTGTGCCAAGAGGCTTATTTTGTATAGGTGAAGAGACCCACATCCACCAGCCATCAGGGAGTGCTATTAATATGCAACATCTTGAATGCATGAGCTGAATGACAAGCTGGCAGAGTTTGAGACTGTGTGGTCCAAGTTTATGTCTCTCCCTGAAGAGGTGAAAAGCCCCTTCCCCATATCTCTGCCAAATTGTGCCAGAGCTAAAAGAAAGAAGAATAGGCAACCTATTATTTATTTATTTATTTATTGCTTCTCTCTTCCTAATACCTTATTTTTCCTAGCCGCAGTCAATGTGAATTGGCCTGTATCACACAGGTTGCTACTGTTTAATTTCAAAACAGATCACAATAGCAGAGCTTGTGGTTTTGCAAACTGTGGAACAAATCAGAAATATCTGTTAAGACCTCTCATGCATGTGCTGTTTTTTTGGATGTGTGAACACTCTCCATGTTGTGTCCCTAAAATACTGAGTTAAATTATGGTCTTAACTATGTAAACAGGCATGTTTACAGTTTTCTTTTAGTTGCCCAGTGTCACCATGCAAGGCTTAACTTGCCTACATTTTCAGCCTATATTATTACATGCCTGCATAGGTAAAAAGGGCAATCATGGTATTCTGAGTAACTTTGTCCTATCACCAACTGCTCAACTTTGAGGCATTAAGAAAGAATTAGAGAAACAAATAGACATAAATTAAAACAATTGCTTCAGAATTCTGCGATAGAAGAGAGAGAACTCAGATGGGCTGGCATATGTCCACCTAGCCTAATGGCAACATCTAATATGTGAGTAGGACTGAAACAAGCCCATCCTGGACAGCTTCCCTTGGTGGGGTATTCCCACTGAGTCCAAGCGGAATGGCTTTCCACCTGTGAATGGCAGTGTGGAAGCATGCTCCAGCTTTGCTTTGGGATCTCACAAGCCAGGAATTCCAGACCAGCAACCCGTCAGAAACATCCTTCTTGCTGGAACATGGTCTGATCAGCACAGTCTACCCCAGCCTCCATGCAGAGGTACCAACAGAAACAGCAAACTGGCCTTTTTCAGATACCAGCTGTTAACCTGGCATCCCTGCTTCCCTCTGTGCACGCCTTTGTCATTCACTGAATCTCCGCCTGCTGAACAGCTCTTGGAATGAGTTAAAATGACTTTTGGGATGTTTTCTCTTGCCTTAAAGGACTCATCTGCTTTGCTTTTTTTCCCCCAGTCACAGCAAAACATAGAAAATGATCTACCCAGAAAATATGAAAAATGGTTTCTATGTAAATTGAAGGCAATGTCAGACAAATTAATTTGTTAACTTGATGTCTAAAAAATCATTTCATATTCCACACTTACAACTCATACTCTTTCTTATTTTCTACATAGTTGATCCTCTTTTTAACTGCTGCAACCATTTTTCACCATTCCACAAAGCAGGCTCAACTTTAAAGTGATCAATCACAAGGGAAATATCATCCTTTATTCCTTTGTATGAGACTTAAGTACTATCCCTTTCCTGAGAAAATTTCCTAGTATCTTACACAAGCAAAATTCCTTTTGATTCAGCAGTGAGGGGTCATTGGGAAGGTCAGTGCTAACAGAGAAACAAAATTACTAGTCAAAGAAACCATTTTGTGGAGCAATGTGAGAAAAACAGAAACTTAGATTTGAGTTTGGTAATGTTAAAACATATTTATGAATACATATTTTTGTAATGTTATTGAAAATATGTCTTTTTTCAAAAATCACTCATACAAATGTATTAAAATTTAAATAAGATCAAGAACCTCACAAAATAGACAATCTATTGATAGGCTTCAGCATGGGCATACAGGAGAGGCCAGCAAAAAGCCCTCACTTGTACTTGAAATTTAGGAAGTATTGATTTTGAGCAGCTTGCCCGCACAAACAGTGAAGATATTTTCCAGCAGAAGAGTCACCGGGGTAATTTAAACTTGGGCTGATACATCTTTGTTGTTGTGTGCATGTAACCTCCTGTGAGATCACAGACTGATGCTAGGCGCAGGCCTTCCAAAGAAGCAAAAATCAAAGCTTTGAATCATGCATTCATGGGCTTCTTGCTGAGAGAGAACTGAAATAATTTTAAATAAAATTCCTAGGTATTGAATAAACACTGTGGCAGCATGGTTAGCAGCAGCAGAAGCCAGCGGTCCCAGGCTGCTGCCCTGCATCATGCGGGCCCAGGGCAAGCAGCCTCTGCAGCATCAGCACCTGCAAGGCTTGTGGCTACCAGAGGGACCTGCTCTGCATGAACCCACATACCCTGCTCAGGCTGTCCTCTCGTGCCATTGCAGCAGGGAACACCTCTCCTCTGCACTTGCTGTTGGCAAGACAGCTGTGGATTTCCTTAAAATAAGAGGCCTGGAAATAGAAGGATATTGATTTAGGTCATCTTGTCAATCACAAGAAAGAACATCCCAGTAGGTATTACTTAAAGAGTATGTGTAACAGGATGCCTTTGTTTCTAGAGACCAGTGGATATAGCTATTTTTAATGCTGGTCAGATGAGCTACAATCTTCCAAAAATTTCATCTGAGACAAAATATTTTGCAGGATTTAAGCAAGACCAAGCAAAACAAGTTTTTGGCTGGGCCAAAATAAATTGGTTTCACCAACAGCTTCACTGGCACCTTGCGTGGCAGCAGCAGCTGGAGGGGATGCTGAGCAAGGCACTGCCCAGCTGGGCTGAGCTTGCAGAGCACCTGGGCTCACAGCCCTCCCACACTGCTGTTGGCACCTGTATTGCCCAGGTTCCCGACTATAACATGGCAAGATAGCTGCTTTTTCTGAAATGCTACTCAAAGAATCACAGAATCATTAAAGTTGGAGAGACACTAAGATCACCTAGTCCAGCCATCAGCTCATCACCACTTCACCGCTAACCATGGCTCTCTGTGCCTCATCTTTGCTTTAAAAACCTCCAGGGAAGGTGATTCTGCCACCTCCCTGGGCAGCCTGTTCCCACAGTCCACCACTATTTCTGAGAAGAAATTTTTCCTACCATCCAATGTGAACTTCCCCTGGTGCAACTTAAAGCCATTACCTCTTGTTACTGACACA